CTATTTCATTGATTATGTGCCAATGAAACCATGTTTATATTACTCAGGTTATTACAGGAAAAAAGAAAAAGAAAAAAAATGCAGTTTTTCAAATGTCCCCAAATATTTTAGATTTTTCTCTGACTATAAATTGCAACTATCAATAATTAGCAAATGCACACATTATAGTTAATATTAGACTTATGATTAAATATAAGACTGTACTTAAAAAATATTATACAAAATATACAAATTAAATACAATGCTGTATTCATCAGCTTTATTACTAGTGGTTTACCATATTGGAAGGTGAAGTATTATATATCTGGTTACTTTCAATTTTTTTTTTATGTAGCAGAACATAAAAATATCATCTTTAGTAATATAAGTGGAAATTGTTTTTAGAAGTTAATTTTCTGTTGCTAATTAACAATTTATCTAACTTGAATTGCTAGTGAGGTTGTAAAGAATTACTAGGTTGGGTTCTATAATTGACTGTAAGGTTATCACCAAATTGTATAAGAAAACAATGAAACAAGACAAAGCCAAAAATAAAATAGCAGTTACATCTGAAGGGCATTCTCCAACTTTTATATTCAATTGTCAAATAATATAAGCCTTTGTTTAGGATTGTGATTCAGTTTCCAGCACAAAATCTCACCCAAGTATCTTCATTGAGTGATCCTGACTGTAATATAGACACAGTTCTGGGGTTGAACTGTTTTCATGTGGGTAGATAGGAGGCAAAATAAAGGCTCGATGGGGGCAGAGGGGGGAACGATAGTTGGTGAGAAAACATGACCTTCAGAACTGCAACTCTTAATGCACCCTTCCAAGAACTCACTTGTGTGCTTATCACAAATCTGCTAGAAAAGTACCAAAGTAGTCTTTCACTTACAATTAAAATATATAAAATTGGGAAATACGTCTTCAAAGTGTATAGGAGTTATTTGCGTATGGAAATATGCAATCAATCTCATTACGTTAACTACAAAATTATAATGACTTTATTTTCATAATGAAAGCTTTAAAAATAATAGTGCTTCTAGATGAAGCTATTTTTCCAGATTAATGAGACGTATGGCAAGAAAAATCACTATAATGGTGAATGCTGATTCAGGATCTTACTTTTATGAAGTAGTTTATAGTGAGGGCTGTGACTATTTTTCTATTTATAGTGGCAGCTCTGGTTAATTACCTTGTAATGTATTGTGACATTAATGCACTAGTAAACTATCAGAATTTACACCTCTATTCAGTAATAGAATCTGTAAATTGAAGAATGCACATAAAGTCACCACAGGCATAAATTATGTGACCAAATGCCATGTATGGTCACATTGGACTTAAAGAATAGAACCTCTCAAATTTACTCAACACTAAGTGACACTGAATTTTGGCACTTCGAAATGCAGATCACAACTTTTTATTCAAGGCTATTTGGTAACTTACTTCTACATTTCCCACATGGTTAATAAAGGCATGCTGGCCACAATTTAAGATGCACGATACCAAAGAAAAAATACATTTGATAAACAAATGCATTAATTTGATAAGAGGCCCTCTTTCTGTTCCTATATTTATACTTAAATAACTATCTATATTTGTATCTTCATATATCTATATCTTTCTACCAGTAGATATAATATAGTTCATTTGTATAATTTGACTGCATATAAATATTAACATCAGTTTACAGTATAATTAAAAATAGTAAATAAAGGTGAGGAGTGATGGTTGAAAATTGAAAAGAAATATTTTATTGTTCCAAAGTAATGCTATAATGCCAACTCTATCCCATTTCCACAGTATTTTAGAAATAAAATATTAGGTTTAAGAAAAAAAACAAGCACATGAATGTCTGCAATGTTATTTTGGTGCTTTGTATAAGCCTCTTTATCTAATTAGGAATTTTTTTTTAAACTGTAGAACTATGGCACATGCAGAATATAGCTGCAATTGCATTAATCACCAACCAGTTTAGGAGGGTCTTTAGGTCAACATAAGTAGATAAATGATACGAGAACTGGAACTTATCAAGACAATCATTCTAAGGTCATGCAAGTCTGCCTTGGCTCCGAAGACCAATTTCTTCCATTTGCCACAGCAATGAACCCCGAAGTACATAGCAATAGCCACACTTTATCTAGGGCCTACCGGATACCAGACTTTATTCTGTATCACTCCTAATCTTCACAAAGATACTGTGAAGTTCTCATTTCTGATCTAGCTAGTAGTTGAAGAAACTAAAACAAGGAAGTTCTCGAACTCCGAAGTTTAAGTTTATTAGCTCTAAACCTTTTCATTTTACCAGCTAGTTTTTGTCTTATCTCCTTCTAAATTTATTTCACTCTTTATCTGCCCCAGAGTCCTCTTTTTATGTGTATTCGTGGTCCTTTGGATGGGATCTATTTCTGCTCCTTCACGCCTGGGGTCCGCTAACTTGCTTTGGCCAATGGGATGTAGCAAACATGACGCAGGCAGAGTCCTGAAAAACATCTGAACTCTGGGGCTTGTTTATATACGGCTGGAAATCCTATCACCATGGGAATGCACCTGTGCTAGGCTGCTGGGTAATGAGAGCCATATGGCCATCACCTCAAATGACATCAAGTTGACTACCACACATGTGAGCTCCCTCCCCCACAGAACCAACCATCTGCCAACTGCTAAGCATCCAAGTCAGCGCTCACGTGACTCAACAGCCTCTGAGAACTGCAACAAATGTTTCTTGTTTAAAGCCACTAACTTTTAGAGTGGATTACTGCATATCCTATGCGAGAGCTTACAGAGCTCTTCCCAAATCACACTGAGAGCATGTCTGAAAAAGTGAATTATATTGAGGTCACCAACTTGCATAAGTAGGTTTACATCTTTCAGAGCAACACCATTTTGCTAAGAATTAGCATATCTAAAAAACATCTCGCATCAATGTAAAATGCATCCATTCCTCATGGTGAGGGATTATGTCATACGCATCCAAGCTGTTAATCAACATAGAAACTTTAGAGGCATTTTTGTTCCTCCCCCTGTTCTGTTCAGCTAACTGACACGTCTCTTCAAAATATTTCTCAGGCCCAGCCACTGCCAATGACACATGGCCTAACTAATTCTCCAGTCATCTTTTACCGGTACTCCTCTGCCAATCTCTTCACCTACACTGAAGCCACAGGTATTTTTCTCATATCAAGAACCAATCATGGTACAATGTAGTGTCCCACTGATTAGGGAATAGTGATTTTTTAAAAATGAAAAGTATTCCATCAAAAGGACTTAAATACATGCATATCAGCAAAACCAGTAGACACAGACATTAGGGTGGTGGGGGCTTGCCCAGTGTGAGAATGACTGGGTAGAGGGGGGTCAATTGAGGAAAAAAGAGACATATGTAAAACTTTAGGCAATAAAGTAATAAATAAATAAATGAAAAAAAATATTCCACATTATTTTCCAGAATAAAATACCAACTCCTCTGCATGTGTGATACAGAGTCTTTCACGATCTGCCCTATTGCATCTTTCCACTCTCTTCCTCTCAAACCATTCCCATTTTACTGTTTGCCCAGCATCTTTCCTTAAAAATATCACTGCTCGGACATACCCATGTTTCCATTCAATCTGTTTCCCTCTTGGTAAGATTCCCCTATGGTCCCTATTCCATTTTCTGCTTGAACACCCAGGATGCATCCTTCAGCATCTAGGCTGTCGCTTTAAACTTCAGCCACTTATAAATTGTCCTGTGACTGCCCAGTGTGTGCCACGCACTGACCAGTGGCTGGAGGAGAACAGTAATTCTGACACTCTCTCCCCACAAGGATCTTACAGAAGAGGAAGGGAAACATGGGCACTGAAAACTAAAAGACAATGTCTTAGGTGTGAAAGGTGGAGGCAAGCTCAGAGAAGTGGAGTTGGGGGCTCTAGGGAGCACTTGGGGAACAGAGACATCCACTGAGCTCCTCCCTGGTGCAGAGCCCAGGGAAGCTTGCAGAGGAACTGAACAGAGAGAGGAGCCTTGAAACACTGGTAGAAACTTAGTGAATAGAAAAGATAAGAGACTCCTGACTGGAGAAATAGCATTAGAGAAAACATGCTCCTGAAAGTCAGACCTAAAGACTTTTATTATATCAAAAGTAATTAATACTTTTGAAGATATAAGAAAATGTACTGCAATACTTTGAACTGAAAAATTAACCTTAGGATACTTATAAAATGTTTGGAAATCAGTAACAAATATTTTTAAAAAGAGAAAACCACATTCTGTATTTGGACTATATAATTATAAATGTTATTTTAACTTTTGTATGACTAGTTTCTTTCAAAAATCTTTAAATAGGTGGTATCCATTTAAAGTACACATTTTTTAATTTATACATTACAAAATAAACTATTTATACTAAAATAACTTTTAAAAAGAATTATATAAAATATCAAATTGTAAAAAAATAAATATATCAATGACTTAGGTTAAGCCATTTTAATTTATTAAAAAAATAGGATAATAGAAGCAGAAAATTCCAATTAAAACAATAATGGTTAGCTGTTAATCTGTAAATCTAGGTTGGCTTTCAACTAGGCTTCCACTAGTTCAATCACTACACATCCCTATTTCTTATTTTGCTTTACAAACATTTATCAGAACTATATTTCACATGTTTAGGTAATAAATAAGACTTACTCATTCTGTCATCAAATTTCTTACATCATCTCCCCTTGAATTTTAAACAGATACTCCATTGTGAAATACATATTTACTATCACCTCTAACTTAGTTAATTGCCTTCATCAAAGAATAAATATAATCTCCTGTGAAATCTCAGAGGGAAGGTGAGGTATGGCCAATGAGTGGGAAGAGATCAACCAAAGAACTTTGTATGCATAACCGATGGACACAGACAATAGGATGGTGAAGGCCTGGGTGAGGGGTGCAAGCGGGTTAGAAGAAGTCAATGGGAGGAAAAGGGTAACACATGTAATATTTTCAACAATAAAAATTTAAAAATCATAAAAAAAAATAACACTTACCTCTAACAGGGGGTCTTTCTAACTCAGAGTCAAGGTGAATTGGTGGAGAGATGTAAGACACCTGGCCATGATGTGCTTGACCTGTGGATCCAAAAATAAATGTTAGAGAGACGTTGTAGTTATGTCTTGTTACTTTTCTGTTTTATGAGGTCACATTATCTCTCTCCATACTGAATTCATAGCCATTATAGAGTGTAGACAGATCTATCCAAACACAGAAACATTATGTGCCAAACAAAAATCAACTGATTAAAGCAGTCTTGCTTATACAATTCAGGTTTTTTGTTGTTGTTGCTGTTGATAATTTATAATTTTATTTGTGGAGTGACACTTAAAAATACAATTAAAATAATTTAAGAAAAAAAAAAACGAAATGGAAAAACTAAAAACAAAGACATACAAAATGCAAGACCTAATTTTTAATTGCTTGATTAAACAGACATTAAGAACTCTATCAACCTGTTGCAAATGCTTCTAAACATTCTCAATTTCTTCATTTACTCATTGCAGATCAGTAAGAAACAGAGTGCAGACTGGCATCAATGCAAATAATACTCTGAGTAGCACCTACTTAGATAACTTTACAACCCTGATTAATTTTTATTTTTATGATTTACTTACATTATTTAACAGAATACTACCCCACATACTTATTATTTTTGATGGAAAAAAAAACAATAAATAACCACAATATAAAAATCAGGTAGATTTTTATAAAGAATTCATTCTTTCTTCCTTACAAAGCATTTCGTTAGCTCACATACAGTATTTGCAACATACTTTCTGTCTTGTGGGTTAAAGTAATAAAGTTGATTTGAATGCTGAGATGATGCTTGAAAACACTGCTAGCTTAAAAACAAAAGAATTTTTAATGCTCAAAGCAGCTATAGTTTGTATAACTGATATGGCCTAGTAAGCAATTTGAATTTTAAGGCAGGAGAGCATAATCACAGAGTCAGTTCTACTTCTAAAGCTACTTCATAGAAAGGATTGGGTGGGAGAGGGGACCCACTGCATTCTTTCTACAGTGGGAATACGCAGTCCTATTTTACACATTTACTATAGCAATTTACAGGGTTGTTAATCTCTTCTCCTAAACAAGGGAAGTTAATGACACATAGACTATGATAACAGTTAGAGTAACCTTCCCGTTTCAAGTAATATTCGACTTGTAATAAACTCTGCTGATTCCTCTTATGAGGCACATTTCAAATAATTAATATGGCTCCCTGTTGATAGTAGCTGCTGTTGCTCCCAGCATTTTTCCAGCTAACGGCAGACACAGTGGAGCTGCTGTAATATACAGAGCCCCTCATAATTGTAAGTAAGAATATTGTGCATTCACTGACCATGTTTCAGTGGAACACTAAAGGCACTGTTAGGAAGGATATAAGACAGTGATTGTGCACTGTTAGCAGTCCACGTGTAATATAGCTTATTAAAAACTTCAGAGGACCTTAATTACAAAAGCATCTGATGTTTACCTATGCTGCATATTAAGCTGCAAAACATTTATTTTGTTTTTAAGTTCTTGAATCATTACAAGTGAATTGGTCTGAAACTTTGATCATGTAAATGAAAATAAGATTCTTTCACTTTGTATAGGTTCAACATAACCTCATCAGATAAAATAATACTGATTTCCTGTCTAATCCAGGAACATGGCTCTGACCACGAGTAATGTAACTGCCATGCATCATACATACATCATCTCCTTTTATAAGGATTTAAAGGTAGGCAATGAGTTGATATTCTTCTATATGAAAAACAAGTAGAGGAGATTAAGTATCTTGCTCAAGCACATGCAGGGAGCAAAGAGCAAGGCCAGTGGCATTTTGACTATTAATCTAAAGTGCTTTCATCTATATCATAATATTTTTCTCAGAGAACGTCTCACTATGCTAAACCTAGAAGAAATATGCATAGATTTTGGTCATTAAATTCTGACAAGTACAGCTTTTGAAACTGTTAGTCCTACATTCAGGTGAAGTAAAGAGTCCCTTTAAATGCCACATAAGTCTCTGGTCTTGGGATAAACATGTAACTTCAAAAGTGCTTGGCATGGATACTTATGAGATCACAGTGTGCATGTTCATGAAGGGAACAGAGACATCAAAAAGCAGTAGAACGGGATGGGGGTTATTGACAAACCAGGTCTTGAACTTCAACTGCCATAATTTTCATTCTCTCTCCAAGAAGAAATCCAGCAAACTGCAAGATTTGAGGTGTGGCAGGGAAAGCCACAGTGGTGGTGGGGAAGGGGAGGTGACAAACTGTGAGACTTAGAGGACAGTCAGAAATGCAGCACTGGATTTCAATATGGTGATTGAGATTTCTGACATTCAAAATAAAACCCCAAATTTATGGAGCTTGCTGAGTGAGTGCATTAATCAAAATCTTAAAAAAAAAAAAAAATCCATTTCACTCTTGAGTAGTGGTACTCCACATGAATCTCCAGGAAAACACAGAGAGAAGAAAACCTATTGTGATCTGTGGTTGGCTAGGGCTGTGATTCTCAGGGATAAGTGCTCTTCATCAAGGTGAGGGCAACAGAACATGGGGAACAGGCTGTGCATAAGCAGCCCCAGTGACTGAGAACTCCACCCTCATTCAGAATTACTGCAAAATAAAAGCAATAAACTAAACTCAAGTGAAAACAAAAAATAACTTCTGTAAACATTTCTTTTAGACTTTACGGTGAATAATATTCAACCAAAAAAATGCGATCAGTTCAAAAAGAGCTTAGAAAGGTAAAAAACAAAAACAACAAAAAACAAAAAACAAAAAAACAAAAAAAAAACATGGCAAACGCATATTGTTTTTAAAAATCTGACTAGAATTCTCTTATGGAACACACCCATTCTCTCATTCATCACATATTTCCCCGTGATCTACTGTCTTACAGCAGCTTTTTATATCCAAATATGTGAAATACTGGTTCTATCTTTGCCCTCATTTTTCCAAATTAAAAAGATATATTTTCTTATTTTTCCTCCTGAATCTTACTTCACTTTTCCCATTAATTTTAAGCAAAAATAATCATATTGACATCTTGATTAGACTAAAGTTATCTATACATTGATTATGAAAATAAACATTTAAAATATTTTGTCTTCATTTTTAAAATGGATCTGTATTTGTTTAAATTGCCTTTTTAATATATAGAAATTATTTTGCAAGTTTTCAATATTTGTTACAAGGATATTATTTCATGGTTTAAGTATTCTATTTTCCCAGTTTCAAACAAATTTTTAAAGATGCATTAATAATTTCCATTGAACTTTTTTGATGGTTATTGTGAGAATTGTTAATTATTAACTTTTAAAAAATATATTTTATTGATTTTTTACAGAGAGGAAGGGAGAGGGATAAAGAGTCTGAAACATCAATGAGAGAGAAACATCAATCAGCTGCCTCCTGAACACCCCCTACTAGGTACATGCCTTAGACCAGAATCAAACCTGGAACCATTCAGTCTGCAAGCTGATGCTCTATCAACTGAGCCAAAATGGTTAGGACTAGTTATTAACTTTTACCTTCCTAGCTTCTTAGAGCTAAATACATTGATAATAATATTTTAGTTATTTTTGGAGATGTCTTTTTCTCATATAAATATACTCCCAAGTTAAGATTCATCTATATACTACTTTTATATTTAATTATTTTGTGATGCATAATTTAAATTTTAAAGATTTATTTCATAGATGTAATTTAGGGGCCAGAGTTTCCTTGTCATTTTATGTTAAGTTCCTCCACAGTTCTATAAAATAATAAACAATGTTTAATGATAGATTCATAAAATAATTACAATGAAATAAAAGGGAGGAGAAAAGAAAATGTTCTCGGTTTATTGCTAAGGGGAACAGAAGAACATGTAATAGGGAAATGGTTGGGTAGCTTATGGATGAGTTTTTATTCAATTTTTAGTGTAAGTGATACATTTGCATATAGATGTCACATATCTACATTGATATGTAATTTTACATATCAAACAGTTTGCCCATTGCAAGTATACAATTCAATGGTTTTTAGTATATTTACAGATTTGTGCAACCACCGCCACAATCAATCTGAGACCACTTTCATCACCACACAAAGAACAAACAAATGAACAAAAAACCCCAAAGCCCATTAGCAGTCATTCACCACTTCCTCCCCAGTTCTAGGCAACCACTCATCTACTTTCCATCTCTATACAGATGCGTCTGTTCTGGACATTTCGTGTAAATGGAATTATACAAATGTAGTCCTTTGTGACCTGCTTCCTTCACTCAACATAATATTTCAGAGTTCATCCACAGACCAGTACTTCCTTCTCTTGTGGGGCCAAATGTTTGCTGTCAAACAATCACAAACACAGATTATCACATTTCATGTATCAGTTGATGGATATTTTGGATCATTCCCTTTTTTGACTCTTCTGAATAGTCAGATAGTCTAATAAGTCTCTGAACCTTTTTGTACAAGTTTTGTGTGGCTATATGTGTGCATTTTTATTGAATATATATACCCAGGAGTGAAACTGTTCATTATAGTAACTCTATGCATAAACATTTTTAAAAAGTATGTTTTTATTCATTTCAGAGAGGAAAGGAGAGCGAGAGATAGAAACATCAAAAGTCAGGTAAAATCACTGGTTGGCTGTTTGCCTCTGCATGCCCAGCGCAGGAGAGAGGCTGCAACTCAGGCTTGTGCCCTGACCGGGAATCGAACCATGACCTCCTGCTCCATAAGCCGATGCTCAACTACTGGGCCACTCTGGCCAGGTTTTATGTGAAAAATTTTAAGGAACTGTCAGTCTGATTTCCAAAGAAGCTATATCATTTTACTTTTCATTAGGAGTGAGTGAGAATTCCAATATCAAGAAGATGTTGTTTTTTAAAAGTTGTAGTGTAGTTAAGCCGGGGTTGGTTAGATTTTGACACAATTAATATTAAGACAATTGTTCAAACTGTGAAGGGAACAATCTCCCCAAATAACTATCTCTCCAAGAAAGGTAAAACAGAGGGTTTGAGTCAGAAGATGTATAGTTCATCCACACTGAGAGAGAAGAAAAATGAAATGATATAGCCCTCCCCAAA